CACATACACAGACACATACACACACACACCCCCACACAGACACAGACACACATACACACACACACACACACACACACACACACGAAAGAAACATTGAAGCTGAATGTCAACTGACTGCTATGTCTTCTCCTACTCTCTCTGTCTTAGTTATTTCCTCTCTAACAATCTCAGCCTTTCACCAAGCCTACACATTAACTGAAAAGGAAGTGAAGTGCAGCTTGGTTCAGTTCAATCCAGCATTTCAAGGAGGTTTATATCCAATTCCTACATAATAGCATGTTTTCATGACTATACAATAATTATAGTGATGTACATATATAATACAACGTTGGTCAATTGGAAAATAGTCTTGTATTTGTACAGCATCTTTCACGACTTTAGGACGTTCCAAAGTACTTAACAGCCGATGAAACACTGTTGAAAGTGCAGCCACTTTTGCAACATGGGAAACACAGCAGCCAATTTGCAAAGTGATAATAACCAGATAATTTGCTACAATGATGGTGGTTGAGGGATAAATATAGGACAGGACACTGGGGAGAATACTCATGTTCTTCTTCAAAATTGAGCTCTGGGATCTTTACCAGCACTTGAGAAATTGAGAGGACCTCTGTTTAACGGGTCCTGTAAAAGATAGCACCTTGAGCAATGCAGCTCTCCCTGAGTGCTGTGCTAGAGGTTTCCACATAGTCTATGTGGAAACCTCTAGCACAAGCATCGGGAGTGGGATTTGAAACCATAATCTTCCAATGCAGTTATAACCACTCAGCCATGTTTAATGCTCATCATAAACTCACCTGGCTGTTTAACCCTTTCTCTCCCCATCCGGAGCAATTAAACAGAATAGCTTTGCAAATTTATCTACATTAAATTTAAATTTATTTAAATGTAGTGAATGATACGTGGTCTCTCCCATGGTGATACCTGTAGCATGTGCAGATGACCATGAATCCATTGTCAATTGTCAGGAAAAACCCATCTGGTTCACTAATGTCCTTTAGGGAAGGCAACTGCCATCCTTACCTGGTCTCACCTACACATGACTCCAGACCCACAGCAATGTGGTTGACTCTTAACTGCCCTCTGGGCAATTAGGGATGGGCAATAAATGCTGCCTGGCCAGCGACGCCCTCATCCCGTGAATGAATAAAGGAAAAAAAATGTGATAAGACATGGTGCGCTGTATCTTCTGCCATGTTGCAGTTCTTGTAACAACACAATCCAAGAGGGTTGGCCATGCCAGAGCGAAAGCAGGAGGAAGCCTGAGTAACGTGCAGTCTGAAAGAACTTTCTACCATCTTTACTGCTGCTTTTCAAATGAATTTTCTCAGCGCCGGTCTCACTCACAGGTCCAAACCTGACCTTTTTTTCCTTCATTGACAGTTCCCAATGGATTGCTCGGTCCTTGATGGGATTTCTGTTCTAGTGCCATCTGCGTTTTTGTGTTATCCATGAGGGGCCTACGCCCATGTCCTACAAGGATAGCAAAGATCTGATGCATCTCCTTGCCTAAAGAACATTAATAAACCAGATGGGCTTCCATGTCGATTACTGATAGTTTCATGGTCACCATCGCAGACAATAGCATTCGGTTCCAGATTGAAACAACAATGAAGTCGAGTTTCTGGCAATTGTGAGTGTTTGAGTGGACTCCTCAAATTCCAAACCCACCAGGGCACTTAAATTTCAGAAATGAAATCTGGAACCGAATGCTATTGTCTGCGATGGTGACCATGAAACTATCAGTAATCGACATGGAAGCCCATCTGGTTTATTAATGTTCTTTAGGCAAGAGGCTGCATCAGATCCTTGCTATCCATGAATGACATGGGTGTAGGCCCCTCATGGATAACACAAAAACACGGATGACACTATAACATGAATCCCATCAAAGACCGAGCAATCCATTGGGAACTGTCAATGAAGTTTTGGACCATCATTACAAGTATCCAGGCTTGTAGGTAACAAATCTGCAATATAATGAGAACTGTGTCTATGCCATTCTTACCTGGTCTGGGCAGCCGTATAAGTACAATGGCTTCAAGAGCAGGTCAGACTCTTCAAATTCTCTGGTGAGTAACTTACCTCCTGACTCTCCAAAGCCTGTCCACCATCTACAAGGTACAAGTCAGGAGTATGATGGAATACTCTCCAATGGTCTGGATATGTACAGCTCCAACAATACTCAAGAAGCTCCTAATCATCCAGGACAAAGCAGCCTGCTTGACCGGTATCAGATCCATCAATTTCACTATTGATCGTCAGTAATAGTAGTGTCTACCACCAACAAGATGCACTGCAGAGACTCACTAACACTTCATCAACAGCACCTTCCAAACCCACAACCAAAACAACTAGAAGGTCAAGGCTAACAGATATATGGGGACACCTGCAAGTAACACTCCGAGCCATACGCCATTCCTGATTTGGAAGTATATTGCTGTTTCTTCAGTTTGGCTGGGTCAAGATTCTGGAATTCCCTCCCTAACAGCATTGTGGGTCTACCTGCACCACATGACTGTAGCATTTCCAAAAGGCAACTCACCACCACCTTCACTAAAACAATGGGTTAAATAGCCTCCCTCTGCACTGTCACCATTTTATAATTCCCTGATTCTAAAACTGCACCAGCTTCTTGCTCTTAAAGACATAAACAAATATATGATAATGTAAATAAAGAAATAAATTCAATCCTGTTAGGCTGCTAGATAAAGTTGGTTCGTAGAAGATTTGACGTTTGTATTTATGCCAGTGAACTTCAACAGAAACTTGAACTCTAAGCTTACTAGCATAATTGTATGTATTATTTCCTAACTATCTACAGTGGAAACTCTATCTCACTATTTATACTTTCAGCGGCATGTACTACAGAGTGAAGTTAAATCACCAGCAAGCTTAAAAGTAACAACAAACAATGCAGCAATTTTGCAAACAAAAAAAAGAAAGCCTCTTTGTCCCACACCCAGAGGTAACAGTGTGTGTAAATGCTGATCCTCATCGGGGGTAGAGGCAGTGGTGAGGTGCACTGTGTGGGTTGTAAGAGCCTGCAGCAGGAGACAGATACAGAATTAGTGACTGTTTCTATCTCTGCTTTAAATTTCAATGAACCAGAAATATTGTAAAAGCAAAACTGGTGATGAACAAAAAACAAAGGGAAGAATGGCTACATTAAAACAAATGAGGCATAGAATAATCAGCCCTTGATGTACAAAAGCGGCAGTCATCGCTCCCTTTCCGAACAACAATCAGCAATGTTAGGAAATTAAAAGAGAGACCTAGGAGATAGAGAGTCAATCAAATTTAAAAAA